TTTTCCACATGCCCCCTCCACCCCAACTCCAGCACTTTAAATGCTTCACTCCATTCTCTTGTTTGCATGAGTTGTGAGAAGAACTCAAGTGAAATTCTTTTTATCGCTCTTTTATAGGTAAGGTGTTTATTCATTGGGCTTCTCTCAGGATTTTTTCTTCTGCATTTGAATGTGATATACGTAGGTATAGTTTTTTGGGGATTCAGCATGCTTTGTGTTTTCTGAGTTTCCTGGAGCTGTGGGTTGGTGCCTGGTGTTAATTTCATGGACATTCTCCATCATTATTTCAAATATTTCTTCTGTTTCTCTTTCTCCTTGTGATGTTTCCATACATGTATGTTAGACCTTTTTGTTGTCCCATAGTTCTTGGATATTCTGTTTGTTTTTCTTAATCTTTTTTTCTATTTCCTTTTCAATTTTGGGAGCTTCTCCTAGGATAACATCAAGCTCAGAGATTCTTTCCTCAGGTATGTCCAGTCTGTGAATAAGCCCATCACAGTCATTCTTCATTTCTTTTATGGTGTTTCTGACTTCTCTTTTTGGTTTTTTTCTTAGAATGTCCTACCTCTTACTTCGTTGCCCTTCTGGTCTTGTGTAATGTCTACTGCTCTAATGAGGATATTGATCATAATTGTTTTATATCACCAATGTGATCATTACAACATCCCAGTGATTTCTGGTTTTGGTTCTGAAGCTTCTGTTGTCTCTTCAAAACTTGTTTTTTGCTCTTTAGTGTGCCCTATAATGTTTTCTTGGTAACTAGCATGATATATTTGGTGAAAGGAACCATTGTAAATAGGTCTTTATTGGTGTGTTGATAAAATGTGGTGAGGAAAACTTGCATAGTCCTGTAAGCATTCATAGTATGTTTAATTTTCAATCTTTTAATTAGCCTCTGTGTCTGGACTGTGAACCTCACAAGTGCTTCTCAATTTATGTTTCACTCCCTTAAGTGGGACAGGATGGGTAGAGGGGGCTGGAGCTGGATATTTCCTTTTTCCAAGATGAGTTAGGCTCTGGTAAAACCACAGCAGATTAGGCCCTGTTTAAATAGTTTCTACTGAGGGTAGCCCTTGTTAAGAAGAACAGAATGTTGTGGCTATTTTATTTGTCTAATCTTTATCATTTTCCTTTTCAGAAAGGTTTGTTTAGTTTGTTCTTTTTGTAGTTCCTCAAGTTTAAAGATAGATTGTTGATTCATGACATTTCTTTTTTAATGTAAGCATTTGTACTTGTCAGTTTCCATCTTAGTGATACTTTTGCTGCATCCTGTAAGGTTTTAGTATGTTGTATGTTTGTTTACATTAGTCTCTAAGGATTTTCTGATTTCCCTTGTGATTCTCTTACTGGACCTATTGGTTGTTTAAAAGCATGTTGTTTCAGTTCCACACATTTGTATTTCGGTTTTCTGTATGTTACCGACCTCTATCTTCATTGTATTATGGTTGGAGAGGATAGTTTATATGATTCTTATCTAATTAAATCTATTTTTCCTCTTGATTATTGAGAGTGGATTATTGAAGTCTCCAAATATTATTGTAGAACTGTTTCTCCTTTCAATTCTGTCAGTTTTTGCTTCGTATATTTTGATGGTCTGTTACTGGGTGTATGCATATATTTATAATTATTGTGTCATTTTAAGTTGAATCTCTTGTTAAAATATACCATTCCCCTTTGTACTGGTTTTAGACAGAAAATCTTTATTGTTTGCTATTAATAATAACCACTTCTGCGTTCTCTTGGTTACTATTGCATGAAATACCTTTTTCTGAGTTTTTATTTTCAACATTTTAGTCTTTTTTTGAAAGCATATAATTGAATCTTTTTAAAAAAATCTGTTTTGCCAATTAGTCTTTTGCTTTGCAAGTTTAATCCAATTTCATTTAGAGCAATTACTGATGAGAGGTACTTTTGTCATTTTGCTTTGTTTTCTACATTCCTTAGAGTGTTCTTGTCCTTTATTTTTTGTTATTTACTCCTTTTGTATTTAGCTGATTTTTTTTGTAGTGAAATGTCTTAATTTCCTTCTCATTTCCTTTGTGTAAATTACATAGCTTTCATTGTAGTTACCGTGGGGATTACATTTAATATCCTAAAGCTCTAGTATACTAATTGAAATTTATACAAGCTTACCATCAATATCATTTTTTTAAAAATCTCTGCTTATGTACAGCTCTATCCCCACCATTTTCAGTTACTGGTTTCACAAAATTACATTTTTATGTGTTGTATGTTTAAACTGGAACTAATATTTTAAAAGGCCTATTAGTATTTGAAATAATGTAAAAAACCAAAACGTGCAGTTATAAAGTTACAATAAAAGTAGTAGCTTTTATAATTTTATATGGACTTACCCTTGCCAAAGACTATTTCTTTTTTAAAAAACATCTTTATTGTAGTATAATTGCTCTACAGTAAACTACGCATATCTCAGATGTACAATTTTATGAATTTTGGTAGATATGTACACCTATGAAGCCAGCACCACAATCCAGATAGCTAACATTTCCCTCACTCCCCAAGAGGTGCAAGTTTCAAATTCCCAATTTACCCCTTCCCACCCCTGTTACCCACTGGTAACCATACTTTCTTCTCTATGTGAATCTGGTCGTCTTTTTGTACATACGTTCAAAGATCATTATTTCTTGAAATAACTGAACTACTCACCAGTGTCCTTTCATTTCACTCTGAAAGACTCCTTTTAGCCTTTCCTGCAGAGCAGGTCTAGTGGTAAAGACCTTCCTCAGCTTTTGTTTACCTGGGAATGTCTTAATTTCTCCTTCATGTTTGAAGGGTGCTTCTGCGTGATCTAGGACTCTTGGTTGGCAAGATATTTTTCCCTCAGTGATTTGACTCTATCAGCCCACTGCTTTCTGGTCTCCCAGGATTTCTGATGAGAAACCTGGTAATGTTTTTCTGGTTCCCTTTTCTGTGATGAGTCACTTCTCTTGATTTCAGGATTCTCTGTCTCTGCTTTTTAATGACTTGTTATAGTGTTCTGCATTGTGGGGCTCAGAGTTCATTGTGCTTAGAGTTCATTGAGGTACTTGGATTTTTATACTTATGTCCTTCATCAAATCTGGAATTTTTTCTGCATTGTTTCCCTCTAGTGATTTTTGTTCACCTTGGGAATTCTATTTTCAGCTGCCAAGTTTTCTACTTTACAGTACTTATACTTTCTATCTCTTTGTTGTTATTACCATTACATTCAGGCAATATATTTTTTTCAGCCCACTTGTTTCTTTCAATGATCTGAACATCTTTCAGACAGTTGTTTTAAAGTCTTTTTTCTAATCAGTTCATCGTCTGTTCTTTGTGTACCTGTTCAGAACTTACAGTTGCTGTTGATGTGTTATGTTCACTTCAATTCATCATACATTCCTGTTTCTTTGTATGTCTTGTGACGTTTTGTTGTTGAAAACTGAATATTTGTATCTTACAACATTGCAGCTCTGGAGGTTCTGTTCTCATCTTTAACCAGGATTTGCATGAGGCAGGGGGATTCTCTTTCTTGTGATGTTTTTAGGGTATCCCTTTCCTGGATACTAATGAGGTGGAAACAAAGTCTTTTCAGTGTGCCTTTCCTTGGGGATGTGCTGTCATTTTAAAATTCCCATATAAGAGGTTGCTTTTGAGTGTCTTAGTCCTTGAATATCTCGCTCCCCAAAATGGAAAATCAGAAAAATGAAGAGCATGAGTATAGAAACTGGCCCTTTAAATCCCCTGGATTGGCTTCAGCCAGAGGGGGAGGGGCTTTGTATAGTGGTGGTACAGCTTCCAACAGTAGCCGTTTCCCTGTGCCACACTTCTGCCTTCAAAAGCAGCAGTCAGAGTGCACATGTCTCGTATTTGAAGGACTAGGTTTTTAGTGCCCACTCTGGCTCCTGCAGGCTGCTTGCAGACTGCTCTGGGAACATGTGCACAGCCACCTGCCACGGGACTTGGGTTGTGGAATTAGGAACTCCTACATGCTAAGAGCTGAACTTGACTGAAATTAGTGGAATTTGGGACACTGTATATTAGACTCCAGAGTTGCAGAATGGTTACATCAGTTAGATTCTACCAGTACAATTGTTTAGGTGGGGAGATGGGTTCCTGACACTTTGCTGGATGGAGTGCATGCTTCCCCCTGGCTGAACTAGAGGTCCTTTTGTAATGTTTAAACATGCTGAGCTGAGTTCCTCTGGGCCAGCATTGGCCACTCACCTGTCCTGACTTTCCTTTAGGACTTGTATCCTTTGTGTCCCATGTAGTCGTTCAGCTGGAGGTGGAGAGTCCTTGGTGCTCCTGGGATGGACATGACCGTTGTTTCAGCAAAAAGAGCTCACAGGTAGCCTGGCCAAGATGAATGGCACCTGGGAAAGGGCTTGATGTCAGGTCTCTGCTGAAGTCATACTAGGAACCTGTCTTGTCTGACTGCTGTTTTAGTGCCATTGCCACTGGCCACAGATGACTTCTGTCATCCTTTCTCATTTAGAATTGTCATTTCTGCTGCTTCTCATTCTTCTTCTGACTCCAGCCTGGAATTAATTACCTGTCGCCTCTCTGGACCACTTATCTCACGTGTTCTTTGCAGTGTTTTCACCATAGTACTTTCTGGCTTTGTTTATGACCTGACACACAAACGTAGCCTATAATATTCATTGAACACCAGCTATCTGTTCCAGGCAGATTTTCTGGGGCTATGACATACATTTCTGCACAGTATTTGCAGGTCACCAGCAGATGTGGTCCTTGTAGAAGCCATTGACAGGAGTGAATTATAGATCGTGCCTTTCACTCTTGGGCCACATCCAGTCCTTGTGTCCTGTGGTGAGGCCTCCTCAATTTTGTGACCTTAAGGTCCAGTAATGCAGAGCACCTGCTTCCTCAGTTTGATTCCAGGATTTCCTGAACACAATCCTGTGGACTGGTTCTTTCATGTGTCAGAGGTACATTTGTGGTCAAGTCATTCCCGCCCAATGTAGTCAACACTTACATTATAATATTTTTGTTTCTAGGTTCTTGGCATGGAGTTGAGGATGAAGAGGTACCTTCTAAACGGAGAGTATCTGTAGAAGGAGTGTCACAGATCAGGACTTCCAGGGCAGGTGTGTCTCCTGAGAAGGCCCAGTCCTGTAAGATGTGTGTCCCAGTTCTGAGAGACATCCTGCACTTGGCTGAACACCAGGGAACACATAGCGGGCAGAAAGCATACATGTGTGGAGCATGTGGGAAGCAGTTCTGTTTCACTGCAAACCTTCAACAGCCCCAGAGGCAGCTAGTTAGAGAGAAACTCTACAGGTGTGATGTAGGGGGACCCTCATTTTTGAAGAGCTGCACAGTTCATGTGTCAGAGGATCCATTTACCTGCAGGGAGATTGGGAAGACCTTTCTGGCCAGCATTGGTCTTCAGCAACAGGCCACTAATCGCAGGAAGAAACTAAACAACAGTAGTGAACGTGGAGCTGTTTTTCACAGTGGAAAAAGTCATCCCAGCTGGAGTGAATGCCAGAAGGCCTCCCACCACAGAGACATACTTGCTGAGGATGAGAGAGTCCTCAGTAGTGATGGGTTTTGTGAGTGCAGCACATGTGGGAAGGCCTGCACCCAAAGGTGTACAGTTACTCAGCACCAGAAAGTTCACATTGGACAAAGGCCTCACAAGTGCAGCAAATGTGGGAAATGCTTTATCCGAAGCCACCACCTCAGTACCACCAGGAAGACGCACACTGGAGAAAAGCCTTATGAGTGCAAGGAATGTGATAAATCTTTTTCTCAAAGGTGCAACCTCATTCAGCATCAGAGAGTTCACACTGGAGAAAGGCCTTATAAATGCAGTGAATGTGGGAAAATATTTACCTACTATTCTGGTTTCCTTACACATCAAAGAGTTCACAGTAGAGAAAAGCCGTACAAGTGCAGTGATTGTGGGAAATCTTACACTTGGAGGTCTGGCCTTCGTTATCATCTGAGGATTCACAGTGGAGAATGGCCTTATCAGTGCAGTGAATGTGGGAAATCCTTTAGCCAAAGGCACCAGCTCAGTGTCCATAAGGAAATCCATACTAGAAAAAAGCGTTATGAGTGCAAGGAATGTGGTAAATCTTTTTCTCAAAGGTGCCACTTCATTCAACATCAGGGAGTTCACACTGGAGAAAGGCCTTATGAGTGCAATGAATGTGGGAAGTCTTTTACTGGTAGATACGGCCTCAATTACCATCGGAGACTTCACAGCGGAGAAAGGCCTTATAAGTGCAGTGAATGCGGGAAATCCTTTACTGATAGGTCTAGCCTCCATTACCATCAGAGAGTTCACACTGGAGAAAGGCCATTTAAATGCAGTGAATGTGGGAAATCTTTCACTGCTATGTCTGGTGTTCGTTATCATCAGAGACTTCACAGTGGAGAAAGACCTTTTGACTGTAGTGAATGTGGGAAATCTTTCACTGATAGATCTGGCCTCCATTACCATCAGAGAGTTCACGATGGAGAAAGGCCTTATGATTGCAGTGAATGTGGCAAATCTTTTATCAGTAGATGTGGCCTCCGTTACCATCAGAGACTTCACAGTGGAGAAAGGCCGTACAAGTGCAGTGAATGTGGGAAGTCCTTTACTGATAGATCTGGCCTCCATTATCATCAGAGAGTTCACGCTAGAGCAAGGGCCTTATGAGTGCATTGAATCCTTTAGCGAAACCATCAGCTCAGTACCCAGAGGAATATCCACAGTGGAGAATAGCCTTATGAGTGTAAGGAATTTGATAAATTCTTTATCCAAAGGAGCCACTGGATTTAACATCAGAGCATTCACACTGGAGAAGGGGCCTTGTGAATGCAGTGAATGAGGACAGCACTGGGGTTGGAGGAGTCTGAGGTAGTAACAGGAGGGAGGGGGCAGGTGCAGGCACAGTGCAGCAAATGGAAAGTGAAGCCCAGAGAGGGTGTGTCGTCTGCTTTTGAACTCCCAGCAATGGGTAGGGACTTGTGATTCAATGCCAGGTTGCTTGGCTAAGGGCTTGGGAAGTCTGGTCACTGCACTCCTCCTTCCCTCCCAGCCTACTTTTGGGACTCAAAGAACCCCTTGTCCTTCCTCACACTGTCTGGCCCTCACTGTGAGAGCCCCACTCATACCCCTGTCCCACGCTCATGGACAGGAGTACTTCCACTGGGAACCAACTTTGATGACTTTCCTATGAATAATCTACCCAGTGTACCCAGTGCTCAGAATCTATTACTCCCATTTCTGAAAGGAGGGGTCTGTAGCTCCAGGTGTTTGAGGTACTTGCATGAGGGAGCACAGCTCCCAGGCCTTTGATGACAGGGTTCTACTGCCTTCTTTACTGCCCCTTCCACCAGGAACTCCCAGGTTCCCATCTGCCCAGATGCATCTGCTGTGTACTGCTAACTACCCATACCCATGGTGCCTCTCCAGCTCCCTCAGTGCACATCTTCCTGCAGACATCCTCTTCTGAAGTTCTTCACAGGGACAACAGCACCAGCTGAGGCACCCAAGACAGGGTGATCATGTTACCTTAGATGTGACACTGGCCTCCTGGATTGTATGTAGTGATTTCCAAGATCCTCTCAGTCCTCTTCCTACACCCGCTGCCGCATGCCCTGTTCCCCTGGTTCTCAGTTGACCTGGTCACACTGCTGAGTTCTGTGAGGGACACTGAAGGTATAAGAATGTCCCCTGTGGCCCTCAGCCCCCAAGGCTCTTCTTAACCCCATTACCCATCGCCCGCTCTTCCTTCCACCCTACCAGAAAAATGTAAATCGCCAGATAATGGTGGTTACTCAGGAGGAACTTGCCTTCCCCCACCTCACAACCCACACTTTACCAACCTTAGCTTAAAAGCTGAGATTGAATGCAGGCGGACCCTTCCGTGGAGAATGTAAAACCCCACTTTATATTTCTTCCAGAAGCCTTGAAGTTGTGTTTTCTCATGTGTTTGTTTTTCCCCTGCGTGTTTGGTCAAATTTGTACTCCTGTGTTTTGCCTGCTTTAATTCTGTGAATTTGGATTACTTTCCCTTTCTTTGACAAGTAGGGGAATAGGGTAAAAGCAGTGTCTGTTGGGGTTTGACTCATTCACCAATAATGTGAATGACTTCTTTTCTGCATGGAATTGTGAGATCGAATTCTGGAAGAATATTTTCTCACTTTTCCCCTCAATTTTTGTATTACACACAATGTAATAGCCACAGGCATACGTATTTAAGATAAATCTGCATTACTAACATATAGTCCCTCTCTCTTAAGTCTGGATGTGTAATAACACAGTAAATTAAACCCAGACATTTGCCAATGTCCCTGGTGTAAATGCTCCCACCGTAGCCAGTGTTAATTGCCAACATGTCACTGAACATGGGAGTTGGGAAGCATTGCCAGTGGCCCACCATTATATTACTTTTCCACCATACAGATACAATAGCCACAAAGAGTTTTAAGGTCATAGCTAATAAGCTGTCATAAAGTGGGTATAAAGTGACAGGTTTTGCATATTTGTTTTTAGAACAGTTTAGTAGATGTATGGTTGACTCAAGTTGTGCACACACAAAACGTACATTTAGATGTTGTGACACTTGTGTACGCCCCTGAAACCAAGTTTCCTCTTCACATTTCTAGTTGATCCTCATTAAAATATTGATAAAAGAACAAAATCCACTTCTGTAATGAATATTTTCAAATACGTATATAATGGAACGACTTTCTTTGAATCCTGATGGATCTTTCCCAGTCTTACATCATTATCATTTTCATGTTCTTTTTTTGTGTGGATTGTATCATCATGCACTTAGTGGATTTTTAATTTACAATCCCAGCTGCCATGTCATTGAATGCATAACTTCTTAGAATGCATTTCTGAAATAGAGCCCTTTCATAACTCCAGGATTTTATTACACATAACAGTATTCTAATTATTTGTGTATATCAGCATAGCCTGGGACACTGACAGATTTTGAGTGCCAGCACCCTTCAGTACAGCCTGGACCTACAAACATGTACCACTGCTGAAAGGATGTGTGACAGAAGTGAGCCTCTGTTGCAGAAATATGTGAATTGCTGACCTACCACAGGTGATGTGGCCACACATACACACAAACACTCCAGGGAGATTGTGGGACAGGCATGTGATAAGGATTCCCAACAATGTGTGTGGGCCACACACACAATCACACAGTCCCTGTGGATCACGTGTGAGATGTGTATAGACTGACTTGAAGTGAACTCCCACATCACTGCGGGTTTCATGATGCACTGATGGGGATCAGATCAGGGACTCAGGAAACAATCTTGGCACAACCTGGAGGCAACACGTGCACAGCTTTGAGAGACAGGGGGATTGGAGTGGGGTTTTAAGGGCTTAGTGGGAGGTGTCAGCCTTCATTCCTCCCTTGGCATTTGGAATAAATTTGCTAAAGTGTGGGTTCCAAGAAGAGGATGACACTTTTTTTTGCTAATTAACAACTATCGTTTGGTGATTTGTATTTTTCTTGTGGAGTCAAAGGAGCGTTGGGGTGATGAGTGAGAAGGTTAGGAGGAAGAGCCTTGGGTAGGAAGAGGGCCAGAATGGACATTCTTACTCCTTCAGTGTCCCTCACAGTTCCTGGAATAGTGATGGGGGCAACTGGGAAGTGAGGCATCTGGGAAATCCTGAAGTGGGTTTATGAAGATGGCCAGGACCTTGGAAACCCATCACTACGTTTGGCGGTGGAGGCCTGTGTCACATATGGTGTGACATGGGTTGTGGGTTTTCATCACTGCAAGTTGGGGTCACCAGTTGTGAGTTTTGTCCAGCAAAAGTCCCACCGCAGAAGAACGAAGTTACTCAAGACTTTATCAAGGCAAGACAGTGAGAGGAAGCCGGAGACCAACTCCCCGAGCTCCTCCGAAGCTCTTGTATTTATTGAGTATAGTCAAACAATCAAAGTGAAATACGTCATAGGAATGAGTAAGGGGTATGGTGTATGTGCAGGGATGCAGGTCAGCAGTTTCAGTTCGTGAAAAACAGAAACATAATCTTAATTTATACTTAGTTTACAATATTGGTAATACAAACTGTTATTTTAAACCTTAGACAATCATGAGCAAGGTTACAATGTTTCAAACAATTGATAATGAAAACCAGACCACCACAGAGTCTCCCTACAATGATCAGAAATCATGTAAGCATGGGAAGCAGCCCAGCCGTTCCAGCTGAGGGCTCAGTCCCTCTTCTGTGAGCAGGAGCAGCCCACACGATGCATCTGCGCCCGACGAGCGAAGCATGTCCTGGCGGTTAGGGCAGGGGATGAGCTATGGTTTTCCATAAGCACAAGCAGCTCTGAACCTGTGACCTCAAACTAGGCAAAGCAAGCAAAGCATGTCTCTGCTTTTCACGGCGAGGAGACAGTTTGTAGCAGATCCTGCTAGTTCGGCAGCTTCCAGGCAACTGAGCTAAGTTCCGTAGATAAGGTGGTGGCTGGTACTGAGAGTTTAGTCTTCTGTGCTTAGACATTTTGCTTTGAGGTAGCCGCATAATGACAAATATAGAAAGCACTGGTTTTGATTATACATTTCTTATGTGCTTACATAAAGGTGAGGATATGATTTGGTAAAGGCAATCATTGCAGTTGTTAACCCAAGTTTGCACTCCCACAACGGATGGCCCTGTTGGGGCTGCCTTGGTTGGACCTGTTTGTGTAAAGAACTTCAGAAGAGGGAGGGTGTTTGTAGGAACGAGGGGCGCAGTGTGTGAGGTGGAGTTGGAGTCTCCGGTGGAAATGCGGACGTCCGTCTGCATCGGTTGGTTGGTTAATGACCTGGACAAAGCAGATACAGTCCTTACTGGGAGGGGCAGAAAAGAAGCCAGTGGGCCCACATAGAGGAACCACGCTCGTCAGTGGCCTGGCAGCTGTGTGCCCTCGAGGAAGTCCTTCAACCTGAGCTACACACTGTTCCTTTCAGAAATGGGAATCATAATAGTTTGTGAGCACTGGGTACATTAGGTATATTAAAGGGAAAGCCATCAGTGTTGGTTCCCGGTGAAGAGTTAGGCCTGTCGATGACCATGAGGTGGAGATATGATCAGGGCTCTCAGTGTAGAGGGACAGAGTGGATAGACAGGGGGTTCTTTGAGTCACCAAAGCTGGTTTGGGCAGGAAAGAGGAGTGCAGTGACCAGACTCCCCGTATCCTGAACCAGGCAACCTGGCATTTAAATTCAAATCCCTGTTCATTGCTGGGAGTTCAAAAGTGTATGACCCCCTCGAGACCTCAGTTTCCTCCCTAGAAACGGTCCATTTGCTGTGCCTGGATTGCACCTGCAGCCCACCTGTTACCACCTCAAACCCCTTCAATCCCAGTGCTGTACCTGACCTTTCTGTTTCCTGCTCTACCTGAACACCCTAAGTGCCCTCCCCCAGTTCCATGAAGAGGAAATGGGAGTCCTCAGACCTCCCTGACACCATCCATATGTTCCCCTTGGACAAAACCACAGACAGGGGAGGGGGCTGCGGAGACCAGAGACCTCCCTGTGGATTCTGTCTGAGCCCCCTCTGTGATGGTGACTTTGAGGAATCCCCCTCTTAGCACTTGGCTTCCATTTCCTCAGGTCTGAAATGGGAATATTATTCATTCTTCCCATGGATTTAGAGGGCTGAAGAGGATACATGTATGATGGAAGTCCAGTGCCCAGATGGCCCTGTAGGTGCCATTTCTGGGAGGTGGGTAAGGACCCTCCCATCTTCTGTCCATGCCCACAGAAGTATGTTCACTTTTGGGGTGGTAGGTATAGCTCAGTGGTGTGGTGTATGCTTAGCATTCACAAGGTCCTGGCTTCAATCCCTAGTACCTTCATTTAAATACTTTTTTAAGCTAAGAAAGTATGTTTGGGTTTGACTGAAATGGATTTAACATTTTTAAGGAAAATACTATGACCCTTGTTAAAATTCTAAGGAATGCTTTATTCAGGACTATTGGGATAGATGTCAACACTATTACAATATGGGGGAAAAGACTGAGTTCAAGTTTGAGTACAGTAAAGACAGCTGAGGATCTATAGCCAAGGAGCTGAGTAAAGGGGTCAGCGGATGGAAAATTACTAACAGGAAACATCAAGGGTAGGCAAGGGTTCTTGCTAAACTGACTTAGCAAGAATCTTGCCGGAAAAAAGCTGGAGAGATCAGATACCAAGGGTGGGGTTATTCTTACTACGCTGCCATTGCAGGTTTCTGTATAAAGCTGAGCTAAGCAGGTCCTGCACGGATGGGATAGGGGTTCAGGTCCAGTGGGGAAGAGCTCAGAGGAGTCCAGCTCTAGCTTAGGCAGAGAGAGAGACAGTCGTCGTCCCTCTTACTCAGGAAGGAAGAGGCCTTCTTTGTTCCTGTGAACAAAATACATTCATTTCTCATTTAGTTGCTTTTGTTCATTAAGGACCAGGTGAGAGGAGATCAAGATGGCAGAGTAAGAGGACATGGCACTCACTTCCCATGAACACATCAAATATGCGTCTAGATGTGGAGCAATTCTCACTGAAAACTGACTGGAATCCGGCAGAAGGACTCCTGCACAACCAAGGCTGTAAGAAAGATCCGCACATAATTGAGTGGGATGGGAAGACACGCGACTGGGTCAGGACTGTGGGACTTGGAGGACACTGAAATTGCCCAGGCAACACTCCCATCCTGGGAATGAGTGGGTCAAGCCACAGACTCGGCTTCCCTATGGTCTGTGTGGTGGAGAGAAGACTCCTTGCTGGTTGGAAAACCACAGTGACATGTGGAGAGCCTGGAGAAGCCTGGAATCTGATTGAGAGCAGTGTACATGCCCCCGCCTGCCCCTGAGCCCAGGCAAAGAGAGCTGTGCTTTAGCAGCTCTCACACACACCCCAGCCAGAGCGGAGCCAATGCTCTGGCCGCGCTGACTGCATGCCGCAGCATGGCACTGTGTCTGCGGCAGCCAGGAGCTGGGAAACTCTCAACCCTGGGATGCAGAGCTGACCCGGTCCTGGGCAAGAGCCTGAGTAGGACTTCGGCAGCATTGTTGGTACTTCCTCCACCGGTGCCTCAGACGCAGCCCAGATTTCTGATGGCAGCTGCTTGGCTACAGCTCATCCACTTCACGGTATATGCAGGGTAGCCACCCAGGCCTAGCTCCTCCCCTGTGGAGTGGTATCACTAAAGGGTGGGAGTGGCGGTGGCTGGAGACACTATCCCCTGCTAGAGACCACGCGGTGTTGTCCCCAAGGCAGGGTGGAGAGAGGTCTGCTCTAGCAGCTGCTGAGTTTAGCATGACCTGCTTGCCAGGTGCCCCAGTCCAGTGCACCCCTGACCGACCCAGGCCAATGCTCTGTCTTGCTCATACCATGTAACAGTACAGCATTTGACGTGGGACAGCCACAACAGGGGAACAGACTTGACCTTGGGCTGCACCTCAGTGTAGCCATGGATGCCTATACAGGCAGCCACCTGGCTTCTCTGTGCACAGAAGTCCCACTTGCTTCAGCACTCCCCTCTTCTGGGGCAAAGGTCTCAGTCTGGGAGAGGGAAGAACAAACACTTAAAGGGAAAAGAGCCAGCCCTGGTCCAGCCCCCATGGCTTTTGTTCCAACAACACACCTGACAAGGTGGTGATGGCCACTGAGCAGAGAGGAAGTTGCACCTCAGGCTGGGTGCTAGCTCTAGCCCCTCCATCTCCAGCTGCCCTGGTTACTAAGTAATAGCTGCCCACACACCCTGAGGAAAGACTTGACTGGCAGCCACATCAAATCCAGCCCTCCCTCCAAAAGCACTAGGTACACACAGTCTGCATAGGGACACTCTCACATAAGGACACACTTTCAAGACCACAATACGTAACTGTTTCACCTATTTTTCAGAGACAGAGGAAGTTACATAAAATGAAAAGGCAGAGGAACTATGCTGAGTTGAAAGAGCAAGAGAAAATCCATAAAAAATAAAGATAAACATTTTACCAGATAAATAATTCAAAAACATTGGCAATAAAAATATTAACTGAACTAGAAAAGAGAACTGACCTAGCATTAAACATTTTAACAAAGAACTAGAAAATATAAAAAACACACAATCAAAAATAAGTAATTCAATAGCAGAAATAAAGAGCACACTAGGAGTAATGAATAGCACAATAAGTAATACGGAAGATCGCACAGGTGATCTGGGAGAGAGAAGACTAGAAATCACCCAATCAGAGCAGCAGAAGGCAAAGCACATTTTTCAAAAATGAAAGCAACCTAAGAGACCTCTAAGATAACATTTAGAATTTGAACATTCAAATTATAGGAGTTTCAGAAGAAGAAAGAGAAAGTGACTGAACATGTATTGACTAAATTATGGCTGAAAACTTACCTAACATGAAAAAGGAAAGATATCCAGGTACAGGAAGTACAGAGGGTCCCAAACAAGATGAACCTAAGTAGACCTACCCCAGGACATATCATAATTAAAATGACAAAAGTTAAAGAGAGCATTCTAAATGAGGCAGGAGAAAAACAAAGTCATATACAAAGGAATCCCCACGAGGAAATCAGACTTCTCCGTAGACATTTGGCAGGCCAGAAGCAGTTGGCATGATATATTCAAAGTGCTGAAAGGGAGATTTGGTGTCTATAAGCATTATTTCTTTTAATTGATAAAGAAGATTATCTTAAATAAAGGAAATTCAAATTTTGCCCAGGAACACTGAAATGAGACAATTGTAAGGCATAGTAAAGCAAAAGCAAATGCTCCTCATCATAGACGGTTAAATGAAGTTTAACAGCAGAGACACGCTGCAGACCGAGAGAAAAGCTAATACCATAACTAATGCAATTCACACAATGTGTATCTTGCTAATGTAATAGCATGCAGGTGACAATCTGTCTAAAATTCCTCTGATACCTTCAAAGTACTTTTAAGTTAATAAAAATGAATACGTTTAAAACATACAATGAAGAGAATTTGCCTTGAACATGGTATATTGTTTTAGCATAATTTACTGCTATAGAAATCTACAATTAGTTCAATTAGACATACAAGATGTCTGTAAACACAAACATGGAATCATTTAAAATGTGAAGTAGTTGGGAAAATAAGGTATTTTGTTGTATTAGTATGTTAGAGACTTAGTTGAAAAAAACAGAGCTAAATGCTGACCACACAGAGAGATCTAATAAAAAGATCTAAAGCTAAAAACAGACAACCATCTTACATCAAATATCTATTTTTTTTGTAATTTGGGGAAAATTATAACCACATAAGGCACAGGTGATAGGTCATTTTATTTCTAAAAAATGAAATAACATAAGTGAAATACACCACAAATAAAATTGAACCATAATGAAATACACAAAGATGTAGAATATAAAAGTGAAAACTATTGATGATCACTTCAGTAGTGATACTAATCAGACAAAAGTTGATAAAGATGCAGGCCATGTGCAGGAAGAGTCAGTAATGAGAAAAGGTAAGAATTTGTAAAATATATGTCTCACAAATGAACAAAAATGTAAATGAAAATTTAAAATATTCTATCATTTTAAACTAACATACATTAAGTTGCCCACATTTTATTTTAGGTCAAGTTCTTATCATGGGGGCTTTACTTTTTTTCCATTTTCTCTCATAAATTTCAATTAACCAAAAGGATATACAGTAAGTAGTTCTTTAAAATAACCCAACCATGTTAAAAAATATTGAAATACTAAGTTGAAAATATTCAGATATATATATATATATATATATATATATATATATAAAAAACCTTGAATAGATTCATCAATCACTTTTACACAAAGATAGTTCCTAATAGCCCTCAGGTTTCTTTTTTTAAGATATTAATTTAGGATTTATAGAAATGATAATTTTCTTTTTCTCATCATATTTCAGTATTTTACATTACATTATCAATTATATCTACGATATAAAGAGGGCAGGGAGCATACAACTTCAGGAGAAGAAACTGATTATTCATTAACATGCAAATCGCCTTTCCAACTTGGGCCCGGCAGGATGGCTCCCGCAAAGAAGGGTGGTGAGAAGAAGAAGGGCCGGTCCGCCATCAACGAGGTGGTGACCAGAGAATACACTATCAACATTCACAAGCGCATCCACGGAGTGGGTTTCAAGAAGCGTGCGCCTCGGGCGCTCAAAGAAATCCGGAAATTTGCCATGAAGGAGATGGGAACTCCAGACGTGCGCATTGACACCAGGCTCAACAAAGCTGTCTGGGCCAACGGAATAAGGAACGTCCCATACCGTATCCGTGTGCGATTGCCCAGAAAACGGAATGAAGATGAAGATTCACCAAACAAGCTCTATACATTGGTTACCTATGTACCTGTCACCACGTTCAAAAATCTACAGACAGTTAATGTGGATGAGAACTAACTGCTGAGTGTCATAAATAAAGCTCTAGAACCACCAAAAAAAAAAAATGCAAATCAACCACTGGAAATTCCAGGGCTGGGCAGGGAAAGTGCTGATCCAAGTATTAGGAATCCTGTGTGGTCCAAGGACATGAAATGTCATATGTAACAAAAAAATGTATCATGGAACTAGCACAATGAGTGAAAATAAGAGCAGGAGAAAGGGTAAAAACTAGAAGTCTTTGGAAGAGAAATCATAATATTTAAATTAGAAAATGTAGACCAATAGATATGGCATGAGCGTTTCTTATGCCACAGAGACCACTTTGCTGTGGTTATCGAACCTTGCAGCCCTTGAAGAACTGAGGTAATTTCCAGGTATTGATGGCTCATGATTTCCCCTGATCACAGAGGTTCTGTGATTTAATTAAGCGTCCCTGCTCTCAAAGGCCAATAGATGAACTTGCCTGCCAATGAGGGTATTTGGACTAAAGTTTTGGGTTTATTTTTACACTTAAAAAAATTTTTTTAAATTTGGGGGGAGGTAATTTGGTCTAATGTTTTTTGATTCAAAATTTAGTATAAGAAACTTCTTACACTAAATAATTGTGGCAGTGGGGAAAGGGAGAGACCGAGATTGGAGATTTTGGAGGACTGATAAATAAGTTTATACTGTATAGCACAGGGAACCATATTCAATATCTTGTAGTAACCTATGGCGAAGAAGAATATAAGAACAAATGTATGTATGTTCCTATGTGACTCAAGTATTGTGCTGTACGCCAGAAATTAACACAACATTGCAAACTGACTGTACTTCAATAAAAATATATTCCAGAGGATTCCAGAGGGAACTTGGTGAGGCCTTTTTCTCTCTGGACGTTCTTCAAGTCCAGGGGTCACGTCTCATCTGAGGTCGCATTTCAGAGGGGACAGTGAGAATAGGAGGCGGGGTGGGGGTGAGGGAAACCACACTAGGGAGCGGAGACCCATGGGGTCCAGCAGGACAGCAGCGGGCGGGACCGGGAGGCACTTAGAGACATTCGCGCCCCAGCGGAGGCCGTTTAGGAAAGGCCTAGGGGTTGAGACAAGCCTGTGTCCCCTCGGTGGCTCAGGAGGCGGAGTCTTCTGTTTATTTGTTTGTTTCAGGCGGCGGAGTCTTGATTCGAAATCCCGAAGGTTTGCCCCAAGGCTTCATCCCACCCCCGGCGAGTCCCCGCTCCTCCCGGCCCGGTGAGTCCTCCTTGCCGGCCCGAGGCCGCGCTCCGAAGAGAAAGAAAGGAAAGGAGCTCTGCGGTGCCCGGGTCCCATGGGATCCCGAGGGTCCGACTTCCCGCGCCCGGGCCTGCGGAGCCCTAGTCGGCCCGCCGGCACTCCCGCCGGGACCACCTCACGGCAGTCCCGCAGGACGGGAAGCAGCCCAAACCCTGCGGCCCGATACACCTGCCACCGGAAGTGATCCTTCTTCGGAGGCTGAGAGGGCACGGGGGGCGTCGGAAGAGGACTGAGAAGCGCAGAGCGAGCCCTGAAGACCACGCAGTTTCCATGCCTTGGGGAGGCGCCCTGCAGGGACCGAGGGGCCAGCGGTAGCCCCGAGTCAGACTCCGTGGTGTGTACAGACGAGGTACAATAATTCAAAACCTAAAGGGAGGGGGCAGCTTTTAGGTGGACAAGGCGTCCTGATAAGGAGCTGTTAGGCATAAGATGAGGAAGTAGATTTTGATTGTGCGAGATCTATTAAGTAAGGAAAGAAAAGGACAGACCTGTATACAGAGTGACTTTATTTTTACTAAACAACAACAAAAAACACTTGTGTCAGAATACATATCGTGGTGCAAGCACTCATAGAGGGTGTATTCAAGTGCAAAAGAATTGTAAAAACATACCATGTTGCGAACTTTGTTTTTCTCCATGAGACTTTTCACTTTCTTTTTCATAAATTTGTGTACTGTAGTGCACCTTTATTAACAATGGTCATCCTGATATTTTATTCATAAAGTTGCAGAGTATATTGAAAAACAAATGTATATGTGTAAAACAATTTTATATTCTATTGAAACAACAGTTCCATGTTTTAGGGATAGATCAGCTGTTGGGTGCACCCCCAGGCCTGCAAGCCTCCTAATGGCCCAGCCTGAAGACGGAAGAAAGAGCTCAGAGACAGCTACAGAGACATCCATGGCTTAATGGGGAGGGGATCTTACCCAAAGCAAGGCCCCGAGGAGCATTCCACCGTGGTCAGTAGACAGCAAGCAGGATATGACAGCTGTCTTAACAACTTACAGGGGAGAGGGAGGTTACCAGCTTTAGAGGGAATCACTGTCAGGTTGGCTTATATGTTATCAGGGACATCAGCAGAGGAACATACCCCTTACTGCGCCTTTCATGAAATATCCGAGTGAAGACCTTTTGACTTAGGTTAGAACAATCACCAGCTGGGGCAGGCAGCAACTCTGTAGACATTTACTGAATAGGCACTTTGATTAAGAGGGAAGGTCAGTGAGGTGAGTAGGGTGTAGGTGAAGCAGGGACTAGTGGTGCAGGGGAGGTACAAAGAGCAAAAGAACAGCCTTCGTGGGTGGCCTGATCGTACACCAGCGTTTCTCCCTGAGTTGGACACTATCACTGACTATACAGGCAGGAGAGCCTTTTCTGTGGGCACCAGAAGTAGTGCCTTCCCCTTTATCCATCTGCTATAGTGCTGCCCAATATCTCCTCTCCACCTTCTGGTCATGGTCACGTCTATTTTCTTGTCCCTGACCAAAGCTTCCAAAATGACTTTCATACCTCAGGCTGCATGTATTTTAAGAGCAATAGGATAACGTTTATGTGTTTCCTGTTACCAGTGGCTATCAACTTGGGTTGGATTCACGGAGTCTGAGATAACGTCCAAACACTTGTGATCAGGAGCATCTAAGGCTCTTCAATCCTCTTAAACCCCTCCGCCGTGCTTGCCCCGCCCCTTCGTAAGGATGAATCCCTACCCCGCCCTAGAGGTCATTTCCCAGCGCCCCCGAGACGCTCCTTGTCTTTTCCCCAGGTGGTCCCGGTGTTCAGTGCCCTTCCCTGAGGCCTTAGCACTACCTTACCCAGAAGATTGTGCGCCAAGGGGCAGAGGCCATAGCCCAATGACAGTCCAGAAAGGAGGCGTTTCCGGGTCAGCAAACATTTCGTTGAGGGGCTTCCGGCGGCTTCCTGACGGCCATTTTGGTTGCTGTGGAGTCCGTTGATTGCGTGAGAGGGTCGCGTGTCCCGTGAGGGGAGCGACGTGACGGGCCTAGAGGGCGCAGGAGGAGGCTCTGTCCGCGCTGCACGGGTGCGGGTGTGAGGGTCGGGGACACCGCCGCCCGCGAGGGGTGTCGTTGCCGAGCCGACCCGGTCACTCGGCTGCGGCCACTCTGCTCCGCGCAGAGGCTCGGATGGCGGCGGCTGCGCTGAGGGACGCGGCTCAGGTAAGTGCTGCTGCTGCGGGTTCTCCCCTGCCCGTTTCCCACCCAGACAGTAACGCCCCGAGCGGGGGGCGCCTGTTTCCGTCTCTTTAGCCCAGGCCCCTGGTCAAGGACCGAGGCCTTCGGGACGGGGCCCCTGTTTCTGCCCACCAGTGTCTTGCGGTGTCGGTGGGGCTTGGAGAGGCAAGTGAACCGGGAACTTCGGGGAACCTGGAGTCTGTCTTGTTTCTCCGAGGAACAAAGTTTGAGGCCCACTTGCACCTGGAGCGGTGCAGTAGTGATTGTACTATAATTCTTACGGCTCTGGGACCGTGGAGAGTTTTGAGCCAAGGAAGGATAAGGTCTGAGTAAGGTTTCAGAAATACTCCAGAGCTTGTTCAGTGGAAGTACAGAATGCAGGGGCCGATGAGGACACGGATGCAGAGGGCAGTTGCTTCTCCCAGGTCATAACAGGTAAGAGGTTGCAGTGAGGACTGAGGCACGGAGATTAGACAAGCAGTCTGAGGTTACCTGGCTGGTACCGGGCAGAGGTCCAGGAAGGCCTGAGCCCCTGGAGCACCGCCGTGGTCACTTTCCTCCATGGCCTGCCCTTCCCCACAGACTCCCAGGGCTGCAGAAGCAGTTTAATTAAGTGGGGTCTGTCCCAATCCTTCACTTCTTCTGAGCCCTGCGTACACATATGAGGTGTCTTTGGGGGCTCTTCGCCTGCCATTCTCCAAGTCTCTTAGTTTGGGGACCCTGGAGAACCCTGTGCTCAGGGTCCTGAGTCCAGGCCTGGGCATATGGAGGGGGTTGCCATTTCCCACCACCAATGGAATGAAGTTTGGAAGGTTACTGCTGGAACGCGTACCAGTTTGTGGAAAGGCACTAAAGTGAAGCTGAGCTAGTTTAGGTAATTTCTTGTGGAAATAAATAGCAGGGAGGAGGAGTTAGGTTTGAAATGACTGCCTGTGTATTCTGGAGGCCATGGGAGCTTCAGATCAGGGAGGGAGGTTTTCTTACCCAGGTCTTCAGGCTCCATCTGGTCAGGCAGTAGGGTAGATGTGTGGGAAGATGGGCTGTGGATTTTTGGGAGTGAGGCTGTTTATGGTTTTGTTTGTCCCGGTTTTTGCAGGGCAGTGTGACCTTTGAGGATGTGGCTGTGTACTTCTCCCGGGAGGAATGGTGTCTGCTTGATGAGGTTCAGATACGCCTGTACCTTGATGTCATGCTGGAGAACTTTGCCCTTGTATCCATGCTGGGTAAGGTCCTCATACCCACCCATATCCCCTGAACTAGGCTCTGTCTTTCTCCCTTTTTCCAGGAGCAGCTTTGTTGTTCTCACCTTTGGACCATGGGTGCTACTTTCTTGTTCAATCCTTGGGTAGGTGCTGTGGTTACTATGGGGATGCTGAGTGCATCCCTACTTCTTAGTGCCCTTCACCTGTAGCCCCCAAGCCTTGCAGGTTAGGATTCAGGAGCCTTAGGGTTTGTTTGTTTTTTAAGTGTCTTTATTTAACCTTCGTTCTTTTTTTCTTTCTTTCCTTTTTTTGGTGTGTTGGGAGGGTAGGTAATTAAGTTTATTTAGGTATTTTTTAAACTAAGTTTTTAATTTTAGAGCATATGCTGTACCAGTAGAGCTATACCCTTCCCCTCTCAAGATCCTCAACCTTGCAGTCCGCCTGCTAGATGCCTCCTTGCTTGCTATCTGTTTGGCCATGTGACTGTCCAAATCCATAGTATCCAAGTTTTGACCCATTCCTCTACCCGGTATTGATTTGTGTCTGACTGTGCAAGAAACTTGTCACTGTCCTGGTCACTAGTAAAACAGACCATAAGCTGTTCTTACAAGACCCCTTTCCAAGGTTCCAATTCTTCCACATCCGTGCCAGCATCTGTTATTTTCTGTTCCTTGGATTATAGATATCCCAGTGGGTAGGAAGTAGTACATCTTTATTATTTTGATGGCATTTCCCTAGTGCTGTACTTATTGACCATTTGTATATCTTTAGAAAAACATCTGTTCAAGTCCTTTTTCATTTTTTTTAATTGAAGTACAGTCAATTACAGTGTGTTAGTTTCTGGTGTATAGCTCAGTGTTCCAGTCATGCATATACATAAGTATACTCCTTTTCATATTTTTTCTCATTAAAGGTTATTAAAAGATATTGAACAGAGTTCCCTGTGCTATACAGAATAAACTTAAAAAAATCTATTTTTATACACTGTGGCTAACATTTGTAAACCTCAAACTTCCAAATCCTTTTTTTTAAATCATGTTTTTTTGATTGTTGTTGAATTATAAGCTTTATTCACATATTCTGGATTTTAATCCCTTCTTGAATCTGTGATTTGCATATGTTTTCTCCCATTATGTGGTTGCCTTTTTCACTGTGTTCATAGTGTTCTTTGATGTACAAAAGTTGTTCAGTTGATTTACCCCATCATCACTGAGGTATAATGGACACATAATGTGTGTGTTAAAGTTATGCCACAATCATTGTTCAGTTTTGAAATCCTGTTTCTTTTTTGTTGCTTGTGCTTTGTTGTCATGGTCAAAAAATCATGGCTGAATCCACAGATGAAGCTTTTCTCCTTTTTTGTCCTAAGAATTTTATAGTTTCAGCTTTTACATTTAGGCCTCTGATACATTTTGAGTGAATTTTTATATAGGGTGTTAGGTAAGGGTCCAGCTTCATTCTTGTGTGTGTGCATATCCAGTTTTCTCAGCAACATTTTTTGAAAGCACTGTCCTTACTGAATGGTAATGGTCCTCCTATCAAAAATAAATCATATGTATGAGGGTTTATTTTTAGACTGTATTCTCTGTTCTATTCCATGGGAATATGATTATGTCTTTATGGCAGTAGCAGTCTACTTTGATTATTGTAGCTTTGTAATAAGGTTTGAAATAAGGTGCTGTGAGTCCTTTTTTTTTTCTTTTGTTTTCTTTTGGGGGGGCAAGTAGTTAGATTTTATTTATTTTTAATGGGGGTGCTGGGAATTGAACCCAGGACCTCATGCATGCTAGGCACACTGAGCTATACCCTCCCCAGGTGCTGTGAGTCCTTGAGCTTTGTTCTTTTTTCATAATTGTTTGGCTCTATGGAATCCCTTGAAAACATGAATTATAGACACATCATTATCACTCAGTACCTGAAGTTTACATGAGTGTTCATTCTTGGTGTTGCACATTCTGTGGGCTTTCATAAATGTAGAATGATGTGTATCCACCATTATAGCGTCAGAGAGAATGTTTTCAATGCAGTAAAAGTCCTCTGTTCTCCACTGTTTATCCTTTCCTCCCCTGTACCCTTTGGTAAGCACTGATTATTTTTTCCACTGTCTCCATAGTTTTCTGTTTTCCAGAATGTTACATAGTTGGCATCATACATTATGTAGCCTTTTCATCTTGGCTTCTTTCACTTAGTATATGCATTTAGGCTTTCTACATTTCTTCTTTTTTTTTAATTTAAAATTGTAGTATAGTCAGTTTACAGTGTCAGTTTCTAGTGTACAGCATATCTCAGTCATACATGTACATACATACATTCGTTTTCACATTCTCATAGGTTATTACAAGATATTGAATATAGTGTCCTGTGATACACAGAAGAAACCTGTTTAATTTTTTATAGTAGTTAGTATCTGCAAATCTTGAACTCCCAATTTATACCTTCTCCCCCGTTTCCCGCTTCCCCCACCCCATAACCATAAGTTTGTTTTTTATATCTGAGATTCCATTTCTGTTTTGTAAATAAATCCATTTGTGTCTTTTAAGATTCCACATATGAGTGATATCATACGGTATTTTTCTTTTTCTTCTTGGCTTACTTTACTTAGTATGACAATCTCCAGGTCTACCATGTTGTTGCAAAAGGCATTTTATTTTTTATGGCTGAGTCATATTCCATTGTGTAAATATACTGTAACTTTTTTATCCAGTCATCTTGATGAACATGTAGGTTGTTTCTACATTTCTTTTCATGACTTGATAGCTCACTGCAGTTTAGCTCCAAATAATGTTCCCTTTATCGGGATGTATGGTGTTCATCCACTCATCATCTGAAGGACTTCTTGAGTGCTTCCAAATTTTGGCAGTTAGGAATAAAGATGCTGTGAATATCTGTATGAAGGTTTTCATATGGTTATAAGTTTTCAACTCTTTTGCATAAATAACAAGGAATAGGATTATTGGGTGATAGAAGAGTTCAGTTTTTTAAGAAATTACCAAACCATCTTTCAAGTGGGCTCTACATTTACTCATTCCAGCAAGCAATGGATGAAATTCCTGTAGCTCCACACCATTACCATCATTTGCTGTTGTCAGGTGTTTGGATCTTGTCCATTCTAATAAGAAGGTAATGGTATCTCATTTTGAGTCAATTTGCATTTCCTTGCATTTTTGTTTATGCTCAATAGTCATTTGTATATTTTAGTGAAGTGCCTTTATTGGTCTTTGGACCATTTTGTATTTGAGTTGTTTTCTTAGGAGTTTTTTTGCATTTAACATTTAGGTCTTTATGAGCCATTTTGGATTAATTTTTGTGACACATGACAGGTTTGTGTCTAGATTTTTTTTTTTGCATGTGATGCTCAGTTCCAGTATCACTTACTAAAAAGTGTTACCTTTTCTCTGTTGTGTTGCCTTTGCTCATCTGTCAAAGATCAGTTGACTACATTTGTATGGGTCTATTTCTGGGCTCTCAATACTATTCATTGATCAGTTTGTCCATTCAGCAATACCACACTGCCTTGAGGACTGTAGATACTGTCTTGAAGTTTAGTAGTGTCAGTCTGCCAGCTTTGTTCTTCTCCAGTATAGTGTTGGCTATTCTGGAACTTTTTCCTCTCTATATAATATTAGGACCTATTTGTTTGTATTCACAATGTTACTTGCTGGGATTTTGGTTTGGACTGCATTGAGTCTGTAGATCAAGTAGAGAACAACCGACGTCTTGCAGTAATGGATCTTCCTATTTGTGAATGTTTAGTATCTTCCCATTTATTCTTTGATTTCTTTCATCAGAATTTTATAGTTTCTGTAATACAGGTTACATGTGTGTCTTGGTAGATTTATAACTATGTTTCTCTCACCTTTTTTTTTTTTGGTCCTATGCACATGGTATGTTTTTTGTTTTTTGGTGTGGGGAGAGGTAATTAGGTTTGTTTATTTGTTTATTTATTTATTTTTAGAGGAGGTACTGGGGATTGAACCCAGGACTTTGTATATGCTAAGCATGTGCTCTACCAGTTGAGCTATATCCTCCCCCTGTGATATTATGTCTTTAATTTCAGATTTAACTTGTTCATTGCTGGTATATAGGAAAGTAATTGACTTTTGTGTATTAATCTTGTATCCTGAAACTTTGCAATAGTTGTTTTTTAGTTCCTGAATTTTTTTTGTTTTCTGTTTTTGTGTTTTTTACATGGTTGATCCTGTTATCTGAAAATGAGGACAGTTTTATTCCTTCTTCCCAATCAATATACCTCTTATGTACCTTTCTCATCTCATTGCATTAATTATGGGTTCCAGTACAAAGTTGAAAAAGAATGGTAAGAGGGAACACCATTACCTTCTTCATCTTAGTGTGACAGCTTCTTTAGTAAGTATGATGACAGCTATAGGGTTTCATTTAGATTATCAAATTGAATTTTTCCTTTATTTTTAGTTTACTAGGAGATGTAGATTTTTGTCATGTGAATGGATATCGGATTTTGTCTGTCCTTTTGCTACACTTACTGATGAGGTCATCTGTTTTTAACCTATTGACATGAATTATATTGATTTTCAAATGTTAAACCAGCCTTCTATACCTGTCATAAATCCCACTTGATCTTGGTGTCTGATTCTTTTTACACAGTGTTTGAATCAACTTAGTAATATTTCATGAGAATTTTTTCATCTGTGTTCTTGAGAGATACTGAGCTATACTTTTTGGTATATCTTGTTTGGCATTAGAGTAAAGCTGTCTCCATGGAATGAGTTAGGAAGTATTCCCTCCATTTTTATTTTCTGAAAGAAATTGTAGAGAATCATAATCTCTTCTTTATATGGTTGACAGAATTCACCAGAGAACCAATTTGGGCCAGTTCTGTTTGGGAAGGTTATTCATGATTGTTTCAATACGTTGATAGATGTAGACCTGTTCAGATTTTCTATTTCTTCTTGTGTGGGTTTTGGTAGACTGTATCTTTCAGTTGATGTAAGTTATCAAATTTATGGGCATATTTTGTTATTATCCTTTTAATGTCCATGGTA